TTAGGATTTTTGCATCAATATTCATGAGAGATACTGGCCTATAGTTTTCTATTTTGGTGGTGTCTTTTCCTGGTTTTGGTATCAAAGATATGTTTGCTTCATAGAATGAATCTGGAAGGGTTCCATCTTCTTCTATTTTCTGAAATAAAAATACCACCATTTAAGGACATTCTCTGCTGCTTCACATTTATTCATTGTGCAGCCTTTACATGCATATGTGATGATTGAAAGTGCCGTGGCTTAGATAAGGTGCATCTTCGTCTTCCAGGTGACATCGTTGCTCTGTAGTGCTTTAAAGAGGTCCCTGACAGCAGGTTTGACCAATGCAGTGCATTGTTTGAATTTCCACGAGTGATGAGTATATAGATCTAAAGTAAAATGAACTCCTTGGTAGCGCCACTCTGTTTATCATGGTGTTGATTATTGGCCCAGTTGCTTAAATAGTTTAAATGGACTCCTCTCCTGATGCATTTTCTCTCTCACTGTTTTCTCCAGATATTTCATAAGCTGCTCTAACCATGGGAGAAATAGAGCAGAGGCCGACGACAGGATCTCGACTGGGAGCCCCTGAGAATTCGGGGATCAGTACCTTGGAACATGGACAGAAGCCGCCCCCCACACCGTCAGGAAAACTCATGTCCATAAAAATCCAGATGCTGGATGACACCCAGGAGGCGTTTGAAGTGCCAGTAAGTTGAGAATGCGTCTGTGAGTTCAGATGTGTGGGCGAGATTGGCGTGGGGAGGTCAGTCTGATTCCTGTGTGTCTCTGGCGTGAGGTGGGAGGACCAGTTCTGTGCATTCAGCACCTTCCACCTCTTCCCCAGTGCCGTCCTCTGACCCATGACCTCTGTAGTTAAAGCAGTGACGGTGTGTCTGGAATGTTAATACTGCTTTCCGTAAGCAACTATGTGTGAATATGTTTTAGGTGTTTTTGTTTTGGAGGGGAAAATGGCCTTGTGTGTGGATCTCAGTTTATTTGCCCCTTACAGTGTTATTCCTGTTGCCCAATGTAGGTGCGCGCGATCACATGTATTTGTGTGAAATACCCCGAGAAAGAATAATTGTGGGATTGTAAGAACTATCCCAGGAAAACTACCGTAGAGCTGTGTGTGAATTTTAATGCTGAGAGAGCTGGAGAGAAGTGTGGGGAATGGAAAAACCATCATCAAAGCTCTCCGTGTGGTAACCCTAGAAGTGGAGAGCTCTGTCATCATAGGTGTTCAGGAAGAAAAAGGGGTGAATGAAGTTCATTGTCATCGAATTGGAACCAGCCCATAGGTGACCCTCCAGCAGGTTTTCAGAGGCTGTAAATCACGTGAAAATTGCCCATCTTTCTCTAGAAGAGCAGCTGGTGGATTTGAACCCCCTGTCTTTGAGTTGGCAGCGCAGTTTGTTACCCACTAGGCTACCAGAGCACTCTCTTTCCCCCATAGTTCCTTCTTCCCAGCCTGCCCCCTTCCCAGCCCACTCTCTAAACAGAGCTCCTGCTCAAGGTTAAAACCCATTGCCCTCGAGTCACTTCTGACACAACAGCAACCCTGGAGCACAAGCCTGCAGTGAGGAATCGTGCACAGTGGAAGCTTTCTTGTGCTGGGGAAGGAATGATATCTGTGCATCTGGTCGGCTTGAATGATAATTGCACTTTACGTGAAATAAAAACAAATCATTCTCTCTTCTGTTGGTTAGGATCTAGAACTGGTGACATACCGAAGTTTTGGCTTTTCGTGATCGGTCTTGAGCACCAAAATATCATGTGTCGCTTTGTTTGTGGAGCCAAGAAGATAACCTCAAATTCCCAACCACCGACTTACAAACAAACTTTGGGACCATAACCTGTTTTTAAAATGGAGACTGTCTGCCTATTATTTCTGGTGGCTGGAGGGACTGGAGTTTAATAGTTGCCATTAATGTGTGTAACCTGTCATTTAATCAATTCTACGATATGATTCATTAAGTTATATTTATGTCACAGAACACCGTGGAGAAAGTGCATATTAACATGAAGTGTCTCAGGGAAAGCTAAACCTCAGCATAGCTATGTTAAAAATCACCAATTTAGTGCATGTTGCAGACGACCTTTGTGCCTTTCAGATTTTCTTGTTGTGACTTCATATCTTTCAAGGGCATGGGAACGTCTCGGTGCACGGATGAACAAAGGCACTACTGACCTGCTCCAATTGTAAAGTGCGTTGAGGGGAGCACCTGCCAGCCAGATATAATTAGACCTTTTGGAACGGGCTCCCCCCACCCCTTCTCTTTGTTGCCAGACTGGTTCAGTGAGGTATTTCGTTTCAGTATTTCCTCTTTGCATCGGGACTTCAAGCCTCCAGCGGCACATCCTGTTAAATGTGCTGGAGGAAGGATGGTCAGGTGCTGCTGTGTGTTCCCAGCCCAGGGAGCATGGCTCTGTGTTCAGATGTGGTTTCTCAGTTTCCCTAAAACTAACAATGTTACGTCTCTGTCGTGGCTGTTATTTAATTAGCAAGTCCACAGGAACTCCCTTTTGTCATAGTAACAGATTGTGCTTTCTTCTTCTGAAATTGTTTTTGCCTGTCCTTTGCATCGGAAACTCTCTCTCTTAATTCCCTGATAAACACCTGATCAGTAGCCAGTCATCCGGCTGGCTCCCACTCAGGGTAACCCACATACGGTGGCGTTTTCTGTGTGGATTTTTTGGTGGATGTTGTTCATAGGCTTTCCTTTGGAGGCTCCTCTTGGTTGATGGGAAGTGGCAGCCTCTTCATTAGAAGCTAAGCGCCTAACCTTTAGCTCTCTCCAGGACTCTTATCAATGCCTAATTCATTGCTGTGGAGTTGATCCTGACTCATATCAACCCAGTAGGATAGAGGAGACTTGCCTCCCCGAAGCCTTTCTAAACTGTACTTTGTGTGGAGCCTGACTGCCACATCTCTTTTCTGTGGCACATCTGGTGGGTTTGGACCGCTGGCCTTGTAGGTAACAGCCAAGTGATGACCCACTGCACCTCTAGGGCTTCTGGAATGAACGTCTCTATGACCTCTTAAGGACCCACTCGGCTCACGTTTTTATCTGGATATCCTTTGTCCGGTAGTGGCTGGGCCTCTTTCTCCCTTTGCTGAATTCTTGGGTTCTGTACTTGTGGGGCCAGACTGTTGGGTTCAAATCTTAGCTCCTACTGACTGGTGGTTCATCCTGGAGAAGATACTTAATGTCTCTGTACCTCAGCGTTCCCTCTGTGAAATCACTACTGTGGGGTCAATGCCCTACTTCGTCCTTCTCACAGGCAAAGGACTTGTGCCAGACAGAAGAGCCTGGAGGAGGGGACGGTGCCTGCGGACCAAGGTGGTACAGTAGACAGTAATTGTAGGGTTTCTTGAGAGAGCAGAATTCAGTGCACGGAGCATTAAAGTGTAGGCTGAAGCTTTTTCTTAGAGTTCAGGGTCAAGAATAGAAAGTGAGGCAGATGTGAAGGTAAAAAGTAAAAATAGATTTTTTTAGAAAGTTATGGTGCTGGTGAAGAGTATTGGGCATACCATGGACGGTCAAGAGAACAAACAGGTCTGTCCTGGAGAGGGTGAAAAAGGTTATCCTTGAAGGCAAGGATTTTGTGGTGTTTGTTTTTTGTTTGTTTGCTTTTCTAAAACTTTATTTTATTAATTTTAATGAACATTTACAGGGACTTTTGATTTCCATTCATTCATTGTTGCACATTTCTCCCTACCCATCCCTCCCCCCACCCCAGTTCGCTCCTCTCTTTGAAAAGTAAAAGAAAAATGCTTTAATTGGTATACAATCCCCTCGCACCCCCTTCCCAACACCCCAGGTACACGCCACTATGCAGCCTTAATTCTGGACTCAAGGTAAGGATGTTGAAGCTCCATCTCGCATACTTTGGACATGTTGCCAGGAGGGACCAGTCCTCAGAGAAGGACATCATGCTTGGAAGGGCGGAGGTCAGCACAGGAGAGAAGACCCTGATGAGATGGACTGACACAGTGACACTGACAGTGGGGCAGGTGTGTCAGAGACGGTGAGGTTGTCTCAGGAAAGGACGGGATTCAGAGCTACTATTCAGTGATTTGCTATGTTTAGGTTTGTGTGGGGGTTTTTTTGTTGTTGTTGTTTTAAGTTGTGTGTGTACCGTCAAATCAGATCTGACTGGTACAGGAGGAGATTTCCCCTCTTTCTCCAGCAGAGCATCTGGTGTATTCGAACCTCATGCTTCTGGGATTGCAGTGCAGCTTCTTGCCAGTAGGCCACCAGAGCTCCTGATTTGCTATGTTGACTCGATGGTATACAACAGCTTTAGAAAGTTACATCTCAGACCCTCCTCCTTGAAAGGAAATACAGAGGAGGCCCCGTGCTAGTGAGGTGAGGCTGTATTTATGGCTTTCTCCACTGGGCGGGCCTTGGGGCTGCAGTCTGGGCCAGTGAGGTGATGGATGCCATAGAGAGTTCAAAGTGTAGTGGGTGGTTCTCATTCTGGTCCCAGTTCTCTGACGTTATTCTTATGCCCAAGGCATCCACTGCTTCTGACATAGCTGTGAGCCCAATAACGCTCCTTCTACGTGTGTCAGTATCTGCTGCCTGGTTCTTATAGCTCAGTTTTCCAGGCATAAACTTCTGCCTCTCCTATATCCTTGGTCCTAAACCTAACAAAATGAGGTCAATAATTAACCCTGCTTTATACTTTTAGGAGAATAAAATGAATCTATACCTGTAAAGCATTTGGAACGACTCTTGGCACCTGCTAAGAGCTTCATCTGTGCTTACCGTCAGGGGGACTGAGTCCTGTTCTGTTCTTCCCTTTGTCACCAGCTTTCCTGGGCGGGAGCTTCCTCTGAATCTTTATATCCTCAGCAGCTATTGCAGTGCCTGGCATGTTGTTACTGCTGTTGAGCCCCATCGAGTCAGAACTGACCCATGGCTGACCTCCCCGTGGGTTTTCAGAGGTGGCAAATCACACAGGAGTTGATTGTCCAGCTTTCTCCTGTGAAGCAGCTGGTGGATTTGAACCACATGCCTTGAGGTTTACATCCCACCTCCTTACTGCCAGGCCACCAGAATGCCTTCTTGGCACGTGGTAGGCGCTTGTTAATTATTTGCCACCTGAATGTTTGAATGAGTTTATTTTATTAATTAAATCACAAGTAGAATGAATAACGTCATTGTTCCTTTCCATGGACCGTTGATATTTATTGTTTGGTCAGAATGATCTTTCTTGACCAGCGGGTGCCAGATGTTTTGCTTAGCTGGCTGTGGAAAGCCACATACAGCATTGTCCTTGATGGAGCTCGTTCTAAATTGCTACTTGGTGCCCTTTCAGCATAGAAGCTGTGTCACACAGCTCACAGGCCTCAGAGCTGACCCCTGGACTCTAGTCTCCCAACGGCACCGGGGATCAGAGGAGAGGGACTGGACCTCGTAGGAAGTCCAGATCTCCTTAATTGCTTGAAAGCCTTGCTTCACATTTTTTTTGCCATTAATTCATCAGGGTCAAGTGTGTGACCCTGGAAGTGGCCTCCTCGCCCACACACGCTCCCCCTGCTTGTCAGGGGTCGTCAGTGAGCCAGTTTGCTCCCTTGTCTCTGCGCGCACATGAGCAAGACGTGGGGCCACAGGTCGCTCTGTTGTCCGTAGGCAGAGTTCTCTCAACTGTTTTACTCTGGGGAGTAAATTTCCTGGACCTTTTCTTATTTTGGTTTTAC